CACACACATACACACATATATATATATATATATATATATATATATATATATATATAATCAAAAAAACTAAAATCATATTTATAGAAGTCATAGATGGTTGTTTATTATTTTTTGGAGATGTAATTCATAAAATTATTTTTTAAAATTTAGCAAATAATGAACATAATAGCTTAGTAGTATTTAATGTGATTAAATATTTTTTTAATCAAATTATTATAAGACTCTTATAGTTAAAGAAGTATAATCCTTAAATAGATTAGATTTCTTGTAACCTTGATTTTTTTCATAATTTAATCTAAAATTCTATTGTTCAAATAAAAAATTATAAGTTTGATATAATCAAATTCTTGTTGCTATGTATAAGAGCTTTCATGCATGTTGCAAAAAAAAAGGCCATCTTTTGCTATATATGCCACACTTATTATTGATGGTAAAAAGAATAAAAATATCATTTCAAGTAAGTATTAAGATCATTAAGTTTTTTTTTAAAAAAAGAATCAAAATATTCTTCCAAAGCATTGTTTTTGTGATAATTCAATTTATCTTCAAAGAGGAGCTCAACCACCATTTGGACCAATTTATAGCTATCACATAAAAAGTTGGCTCCACTTAAAGAATATATTGATGAGAACTTGACTAAAAAAATTATATGCAATTCTAAATTTCCAATAAAACTCCCACCTTATTTGTGAAGAAAAAAGATGGATCACTATAGATGTGTGTGGATTACCAAGGACTTAATAAGATTACCATTAAAAATATGTATTATATATCTTTGATATTAAGACTTTTATACCAATTGAATCAAAATAAGATCTATACAAAAATAGATCTATACAGAACATACAATTCAATATGCATTAAAAAAAAGAAATGAATAGAAGATATTACTTTAAATTATATGTTAGCATTTTGAATATAATATCATGTCTTTTGAATTTACAAATGTATTTTTTTTTTTCAATATCTTATACATGATGTCTTTTCAAAATTTGTGGATGATTTCATTATTTTTTATTTAAACAACATCTTAATCTACTCTAAGAACATAAAAAAGTATAAATTTTATATTTATTGTGTATTATAAAAACTAAAAAATGCATGACTATATACCAAGATGAAAAAGTGTATATTTTATATTATTCAAGTTGGATTTTTAGAATATATCATTTCAAATGATGGTCTTATGATGGATCCTAAGAAATTTCAAACTATTATAAATTAAAAGATTTCAAAAATGATAAAAAAATTTAATATTTTTTAGAATTTTTTAGTTAATATTAAATATTTATTGAAAAAAAATTCAAGTTGTATCTTTACTTATATGTTTGACTTGTAAAGACAAATTCTAGTAGAATAAAAAATTAGAAGGTGAATTTAAAGCTTTAATGATAACTTTTATTTTTACAATAATCTTATATCACTCTAATTTTTATAAGATATTTTTTTGTACAAAAAATACATTGGATTTTGCTTTAGATGAAATATTATCACAAATAGGAACAAATGAAAAATTTCATCTAATAGAGTTTTATTCAATAAAAGTTTTAGTAGCTAAAATCAACTACAAGATCCATCACAAAGAACTCCTTGCAATTATGGTGTTATTATCTAAAAAGAGATTCTAATCTAATCACAATGTATACAAATCATAAGAACTTCAAGTATTTTATATCAACATGTATTTTAAATTGTCACAAAGTCTATTGGAGTATGTCTTTGTCATTATTTGAATTTAAGATCACTCATTAGCCATGAAAACAACAAGGTTTGTTAGACATCCTTTCCAAATATTCTTATGTTATACAAAAAAAAAATGAAGCTTTTGATTAATAACAATTCATTTCTTTAAAGCCAAAGCAATTTGATCTTTCAATAATGATATCAACATTAATTCTTGATTCAAACTTTTTTATGGAAGTTAAATTAAGTATGTTCTTTAATGCTTTTGTTTATGATATTAAAAATATTTTTTTAAAGTTTCAATTTTTTTTTAAATTTTAAATTTAAAAATATTTTACTTTATTTTGACAATAGCTTCTATGTTCCAAAAAGTGAAGTACAAACAAATTTTCTTTAAGGTCGTCACAACTTCCTAACTACATGATATTCTGGATATAACAAGACTTTAAAGCTAATATTTAAAGATTTTTGGTGGCTTCAAATGTACAAGGTAGTTAAAGACTTTGTACAATCATGTGATGTTTTGTTAAAATCAAAAACTCCTCATCATCAAGCTTATAGACCTCTTCAACTATTACTTATATCAAAACAATTATGGTCTTTTGTTTCTATAGATTTTATTATAGATCTTTTTAATTTCAAGTTCTTATGACTCTATATTTGTGATAAAATATTTTTTCATCAAGATGGCACATTTTGTATCATATACAAAATCTATCATATGCAAAAAAATAACTAAGTTTTTTTTTATAATATTTATTGCTATCATGAATAATTAAAGGATATTATATTAAATAAAAGAATATAATTTGTATAAATATTTTGGAGATATTAAAAGTAGATATAAAATTATTTTTAACTTTTTATTTTCAAATTGATAGACAAACAAAATAGGTGAATGAAATTTTGAAATAGTATTTGAGCTGTATTATCAACTACCATCAAGATGATTGAACAATTGTTTTGCTATTAACAATGTTTATTTATAATAATATGGTATATTTTTCAACTCAACAAATATCTTTCTTTACCAATTATGATTATTATCTACAACCTAATATTTTTGACTTTTAAAAAGTTGATAATTCTATAGTAAAAGATTTTGTGAATTGTTTATTAGAATTATATACAAAAATGAAGACTTAATTAAAAGAAGCTCAAGAATGATAGAAATTCAGTGTGAATGTCTATTATAAGGAATAATCTTAATTTCATGTGAATAACAAGGTATAGTTACTTTGTTGTAATATTAAGACTATTTGCTTTTATGACAAGTTAAATTATTACAAATTTTGACCATTTTTTATTTGAAAATAGGTCAATCGAGTTGCTTATCAATCACACCTATCAAAGTCTATGGAGATCCATTCAAGATTTTATGTATGTCTTCTTAAACCATTCATGATAATAGATATAGTAAAAAGAAAACAAATACTACTAATAAAGTGAAAAATAATCAAGAGTTTTAGGTCGAAGAAGTTATAGACTCAAGGTGGCGCCAAAATAAATTCAAATGTCTTATTCATTGGCACAAATATAATATTAGTATATATATATATGGAAGCTAGCCAAGAATCTTATAAATGCAACAAAGATGGTTAATGTTTTTCATTCACAACATCCATCAAAATCAAGATGAAGATTAGTAAATTTTTTTTGTAAAAGAAATAAGGTTAAGGAAATATTGTAATCTATCTTCTATCTTTATTGGTAGTTATTGTGTATTTGTGACATTAAAGAGATGGAGAATCAACAATCAACAAATTCAATTCATAAGATTTTATTTGCTAAATCTAATAGTGTTGTGTAGTAAGACAACTATATAGTGAAAGATAAAAATATGGAACTTATTATAGAAGAGCCTAATAAGAAAATATAGTAGCATAATATGGATAAATAATAAGAAGGTAGTAAAAAAATTTAGTGTTAATGTTGCCTTTTATAAAAATAAAAATAAAATAAAAAAGGTTTCTACTTACTTTGTAAGGCTATAAATAAGACAAAACAAAGTAGATTAAAAAAATAAATCATATATGCATCTTGAAGAAGGAATCAAGAATAAAATTTAAAAAAATAAAAAATAAAATAAAATAAAATAAAAAATATCTAATAAATTTGTCTCAAGAACAATAATTTGTAAAATTCATAAAAAAATCTACTAACATTGTCATATTTATCATAATAATTAAAATCAGAAATAAAGATCCTTAAGAAAAAAATTAAAATTTTAAATTTTAAAAACATGGTGGAATATAGCACATGTAATCCTTCAACATTAGAAGTGCCACAATGTTTGGTAATATTGTTGGATGTGGATATATATATATATATATATATTTATATATACATATAAATCATAAGCCAATTATTATTCTTTAATTTCATTTGTAAATACATATATATATATATATATATATATAAATTTATATAGACAAGCAATATGAGAATAATATAAGAATGTGTATTTATGTATTGTTGCACATCTCTTAACATTTTGAATAAGTTATTTTCTAATCACACTTTTAGTATCTATAATTTTATTCCAAATATTATATTTATTTTAAAAAGAGATCTGTGATAAGTTTATATTTTTTTAAGAAACTAAACCCTTCAATAGCAGAACAAACTAAATTATCCAAAATTGGTGGCAATTCTATGTTTAAATTAATTTAGGAATTTCTTTCCTTAAAACTTTTACAAGAATTTTAAAAATAGAAATAATTTATAGTATGTATGTATATATATATATATATATACATACAGTATCTTCAATTCTGGCCGATATTAGAATAATTTTATTTACAAAAAGAAATAAATAAGTAATACGAACTAATCATCAAATATGAATCCTTCTCTTTCTTTCGTTCATTCTTTCTTTCTTTTTATTTCTTTTTTTTCTTTTGTTTTTGTTATACAATCATTTGAAATTGAAATATCAGAGCCAGAATCTTGCATTACTGACAATTGTCAATATTGATTATTGTGCTGTAGATCATTATTCTATCAATGTACATATATAGATATGATGTAAATTTAATTTATTTCATTCTGGAAAGTATCAGTTAAGTAAGCAAGCAAATTATAGAAGTGAGAAGGATGGTGGAGGGAATAGATGGAGAATATATTTACAACCAGAATTACCATTCGCGATTAAAATTAATTGTCATTTCCGTCATTTACAATACAGTATTCATTCCACAAATTGCTACAACATCAGTTGTCTACTCCAGATCCTTACATCATCCGTGAGCAGAGTAAGAATCCATCTTGCATGTCAGAACAGTAGGCTCATTTCTCGTTGAGACAAGAGCCAAAAAGACGATTTGACAGCCTTCAGTTTCTGTATTGATTAGATGGTTGCAGCACCATCAATTTAGCAACATAAGTGACCAAGCATCGCAATATTATCTGCACTTGGAGAATCAATTCCCCGGAGCCCAAAATTTGATCAGAGGTATTTGTGTTTTAACAGTTCAAATGCAATTTTCTCTTATTATCTATTTCATTTATAGGTTAGTTTTTATTTATATTTTTTTAATATTTTTATATTTTTTATCTTGTCATTCCCGGGTGCTGGTTGAACTCAGAGGTCTTTGCCTCAGGTCGCAATTGTGTAAGGGGAGGAGATCAAGAGTTCTCACCACTAATAGGACAGATGCAAGGCGGAGAATCAATCACCTATAACATGAATCCACTGGAGGACACAAAAGCTATCTTAACTAGAGAACTTGGAACAGGGCAAGCCTAAGAACTTGCACTTGCCGAAGGAGCAAAACTTGTTTGCCAGAGTTAGAGTTGGCAGTCAAGACAAAAGATAAGATGCCAAAGCTAATCTAACCGCGTGCCTCAGAAGGTCACTTCAATTCTTCAAAGCAGTACCATGTCCATGTATGAACCGTGCCGTCTCCTCTGTGTACACGTGTCGCTCTGCTGCTAAGCTGTAAGATGATCAAATCCATAAGTAGACGTTATTTTCTTAAAACTCCTTACGCTTTTAAAACTACTTGCAACTTAGATGATTCAGCTTCCATGACCGTTAAAAATGAGGTAAGGGCATATCGATACCTTCTACGAACATGCTTATTAAGGGCGATTGCTGCAGACAGAGTTTGCCCATCCAGAAACTTGAGTTCCCCATCAATCCTTTCCTTTATCCTGTTATCAGTCGTTTCAGCACTGATTGTTGGGATGGGTTCGTCTGAGGCCTGTACACGAGTTCCAAAATTAATCAATTTATCAATACAAATTGTTAGAAGAGCTTATTTGCAACCATGAAAACATTCTCAAGAGTTTCCAAATTGAATAGCGTTTTAAGGTAGAGTAACTAACCATTATCCAGCCCCAAGTATCAGCGTAAGACGGCACATGCGCTGCATATGGAACTACATCTGCAGCACAATGCAAAAGTTCATGATGACAGCAGCGGAATATTTGAATATATCACAACAGACTACAAGGAAATCTCAAATTATAATCACTCGTGAGTGCCGCCACAGACCATTAAAACACAAACCATTCAAGTGGAGTTGAGCATTGAAGTCTGGTAAGTGCTTACATTTAAATGTTTGTCTCAAAGTATTGTAGATAGAGGAGTAGACCTCTGTGTGCGTTAGTATACCTGCAGGTCCTCCCTGCAATATGGGCAATATCGTGTCAAGTACGAACAATATCCATACCATCAAAAGGGACTTAATAAAAAGAACGTCGCTTGATAGCATGTACCATATATTGAGGGAAAAATCACTAAAAAAAAATCTTGTATGCTTACTTGTGTGACCAGAATACCACCGTCTTTCAAACTTGGCTTGAGGACGCGTTCATAGAACGATTTTGTATACAGCTGATAACAAGGACCTCCTGCCACTGGATCTGCTAAGTCTCCGACAATAATATCAAATTTTTCCGTTTTCTTTTCCAGCTCTGCCCTGTCATATTTAAACCATCCAGCATCGGAACTTAAAAAAACAACTGAACCAAATAACCTCCAGATAGTACATCAAAAAAAAAAATTGAAACAAAGTTCTCTCATCCGAGTAATTATGGAGAACTCAGCCATACTACACAAAATGGATTCCTTCATGAACAACAGCAAAAGCTTGGAAAACAGGAAAATTGACGAACCTAGCACAGTTGATAATAAGGTCCAGTCTCTTGCTGCGAAATGCTTCGGCATTGACAGTGAGATGTTTTCTGCAAAAATTGACGACTTCCTGCACCACCACCAGGAGTCCACACCGCTTCAGCAAACACCCATAGACCACAAAATTATATCAAGTCCTGCACATGACAACTAGGCTGCAGATTTATTCAAAGATAAGCTCACCTCGTCAATGTCACACATGACGACCTTCTCCACACTTCTGTGTTTAAGAGCCTCACGCGCAGTTGAACCCTCGCCACCACCCATGATGAACACATTCTTGGGACTGCAAGACCAAAGCAAAACAGTAAGCACATGTAACTTTTCATCATGAAGCGGCTGTAAAATTAATTCTTTGATCACTTATATATTACTGCAGTAACTGATAATTTAACACAGAAATTTACTTGGGGTGATAAAGCAAAGCGGCATGGACGATGGATTCGTGGTAAACGAACTCGTCTGCCTCTGCGCTTTGAAGCTTGCCGTCCAAAATCAAGACCTGAACAAAAGTCCATTCCCTGAATCCTTGTCAAAAACATGCACCTACGGGAGTTATTAATAATATGGAAGTGGAAAAAATCGAGGAAGAAAAGCTTTAAGTGGCTAGCAATGCTAACCTTGCCGAATGGCCCACTCTCCACCAACTCGATATCCTGAAATTCGCTAACGCCAGTATGCAGGATCCTGCAACAAAATATCCAGCCATTCACTAATATTAGGCACAAGACTCGAATCTAAGAGAATACTGTGGATGCCCGGACCTGTGATACCAACGAATCTTGCACCACCACGTAAAGGTAGCGTGCAGAGAGGGAATCACTCAACTGACTCCAGGGATGTATAAACCTGGGCATTCTAAATGTAGAATAAAGCTACTACCCTAACATCTTCATCCAAAAAGGAATAGAGGTGCCGTTAGGCTTTCTCACGACACCAAGCAGCGCCGCTTCTGAACAGCAGTGGTGCTAACAAAAGCAAGCGTACTTGTCAAAGCCGAATCCCGGTGATTCATCAGAGCCTCAGAGGTTATACTGGACCAGTTGAGTGAACGGTTCGGATGTTAGTGCGGCGCTGGACAGTTCTGAGGCAGCAGGTATCGTTCCTATTTTATTCTTGTCATCAATGGATTCGTTTCCTCAGATACGGTGACACTAGATACGTATTGATTTCCCCATTTTTTAGACAAAGGGCGGACAAAAAAAGGCTATTACTATGGTGGGGACAAAACATACTTCATAACTATCTGAAGCACAGAAAGTAATAGTTATCACCGAAAGTAACCAACGCCCCCTCCAATGCGACTGTCACCTCTAACAGAGAAGAGAATTGAATCGGCTCATGTAATGGACTCCAAATACAATCATCGAAGCGCAACACTAACAAGGCGAAAACATGAGACATCAAACGATAGTCCAGGAGAACTACAAAAACTTACTTAGACACGCCGAACACCCAGCGCAAGTCCTCTTCCAGCTCTTCTTCAAACCACAAGCAGCGCTTCTTGTGTTCCGCTTCGGCAGGCAACACTGTCTTGGTAACGGATGATTGATGAGATGCCCCGTTAGATACAGCCGTTTGACGAGATGTGCCATTTCCATACGCAGCATTGCTGCACTCCACTTCGAAGCATTCCACCATCGCGCCTACTTTTTAATTCTCTCCCTTGAAAATTTCTTGAAAACCGCCGTCCCCAGCGTGAATGCAATCGCCGCTCCTTCTACCCTCGTTGATTGGGATCCATTCACTGAGTCCGAGGAAATTCAATTAAACCCGGACGAGAGCAAAATGGACTTCTGAACAGAAAGGTAGCTCCCGATCTAAACAATTTTCCACACAAAAAGTTCGTCACACCCCTAACAGAACAAAAGACGCATTACATGATTTCTACAAGATGTTACAATCGTCAGAAAATTTTGGCAGCCGATTATAACTCGCAATGGAAAGGGCACAAGAAAACACTATCCCATACGGCAGACGCTGGACTTGTGCGATGCTTACATTGTAAGCTGGTAGTAGAGGGCGAATCAACCCTACCATCCAAAATTTTCATCCCACAATGCCCCAATCATCCCAACCATCGCACGCCTGAACTAAAAACCGCCTCGTGCAGTAACGACTCGGCAACTGGATCCTCTCCACGACATGTTCTACCAGTACAGATCAGAAGATCAGCGCAGACAAAACTACTCCGTGAAGATGATCGAAGGCTGAATACGCTCCATCTTACACACCGACCTCCTGAGTAAACATGAAATGACAGACAGTTCCTACACAACTTCCACGCAATGCGAATAACAGCTCCGCGAACAACAGAACAGCGGAAGTAAAGAGGATCAAATTCAAGAGAACACGGCCCAAACCCCTACCATCCAGTTCCGTTAAAACACAAGACCCTACAATCGAGAGCGACGGTAAATTGTTATGAAGTTCCGGACCACCACTACTACCACCACCACCACAACCACGACCATCACCATCACCGCCACCACCCGCGCATCATGCAACCAGCACACAGTCCTTCAATGCAGTCCCGAGTCCACCACCACCATGACGCTCACCACACCCCTCTCCCACACGAAATTCCAACTCACATATAAATAATGCCACAGCCAACACTCTACTCCATCCCACTGACTAACACAACAGCAAACCTGTCCACGACTCGACTCACCACCACCTCACATCAACCAAACATAAACTGCATCAGGAATCCCCACACACAAACACACACACACACACAGCCACTCACCTGGCCTACCCTTTCTTCGCCACCAACTGCAGCAACAACAGTGAGATTCCCCAAGCTAAAACGGTCTGGTGACGATTACGATCAACGCAACACAACGCAGGCTGATGTCAACAACGACATGCAGGGAAAACGGGGGAGGGGGGAGAGAGGGGGGGGGAGGAAGAATTGCTGTAGCGAGGCCGCCGCGTATCTATAGTAAGCGACGTAGTGAAGATGGGCGGGGGGAAGAAGAAGAAGGAAGGGCGGGGGCGGGGGTAGGGCGTATGTGCGGTTGTAGGTATTCAGTTCAAATACGACTCTGCACATCCATCCCACGGAGGCAGGTATATCACCCCTGTAACCGTGGTAGGGACCTATGAGCCTGGATGCGCGTATCGTATGGCTAGTGCTGCAATTGGGAATTTGTTTCTGGAATCTGCCGCTGCCCGCCCTGCCATGCTCCCTGTCCCTTGCCACTATATCCTCCCCCCAAATCCTGGACATGCCCACGGGCCGCGGGTGGCCCGGGCCCCACTGAACCACGGAAGTGGGGTCCATATTTTCTCCTTGCCCGGGCAAGGGGGACTGGCGCTGCCCGTATGAGGTCGCATTGCCATGCATTGTCCTTACCCAGTGAATGCTCCGCCATGCACTGACGGTAATACGCTCTCATTCAGCGGGATTAGGTCCCGTTGTGCCGTCTGGGATGAGAACCTGGTCCTCCTCTTTCAAGGACTTCTTTGTGATGAATAGTAAGATAGCAATTTGTCTCAACTATTTACATACCCAGAAGTGGGATTCGTTCTTTTTGGAATCTTGGGATGCGTAATCAGCGAATGTGTTTATTAAAACTACCAAATTGTTAGCTTTCTGTTAGGCTTAGTCATGAAAGATATATTATTCTTTTTATTTATTTCAGGGCATTTTTTTTGAGATATTATTCGGTGTGTTGAATTCTTTTCAATGTTTTGGATACAATTGTAGTGCAATTACTTCATCATATACATTGTACTTTGTTTTTACTTAGTTGACTGTGTCATTTGTTGAGTGTACAATTTTTTTTAAAGTCAAGTAAACTATATATATATATATATATATATACATACATACAAATATATTATAGTTAATCCTTATTTATTTAATATATTTCCTTTTCTATTTTTTCTATCAAAAAATAAAACATTGTCATGTTCAAAACCAAATGACAAATATTTTAGTTTTAAGATATTTTTTTCCATTAAAATGAGGACTTAGACCAAACGTGTAATATACATAAAATTCAAATGACTAAGACCAAAGGTGTAAAATACAATGATAAAATTGATGCAATTGTATTTGTACAATATAAGGATAAAATTAAAAAAGAAAGACCAAACCTATAATATACATAAAATTAGAAAACAACAACATGACTTCTTATTTTGAAAACAAAATCTTGTCACAATTATTACAAAATATAGAATTTGTTCATTATTTTGTAATAATTATTACAAGTCAATTATTGTATAAAATTTGCTATTACAAGGTATTTTTTCACTCTCTATGAATAGTTTATCTTGCACTTTATAAAATATATTCAAAACATAATTTAAATGTCTATGAGTCAAATTATTTTTAATTTCAATAAGTGAAGATAATGTTCTTATGTCATCCATAGTTTTCTACATAGATATAAAATCTCTTATTATTTTTCCCTCTTTAAATAAAAATATACATGTCATTATCATAAATTAATTATAAATTTAATAATATACTTGCATATAAATATATAGTCCAAATAAAACTAAAATAAATCTTAAAAAAACATGATACTAGATAATGAAATATATTTGTAAAGATCTTGGAATTGGATCCTTCACACACTAAGTTTCAAATACTTTTTAAATTCTAAAAGATATAGACGTACCAAGATTAGAGCAATGAAGGAAAATAAAATTAAATATTTAAAAATTAATAAAATATCTTATTTGGTGAACCACTCCTCTAACCATCACTAATAGTACCAAGGTTTGTTATTCTTTAAAATATTATTAAACTAAAAAATATATGAACATTATTTTCAAAGAATTTAATTTTAAATACAAAAAACTCTTTGAGATAAGAAATATAATAAATTAATTTTAAAATATTAAAATAATTAATCTTTTCAACAAATGCACTATAGATTTCTTCACCAACAAGAATATAGGTTTTTAAAATATTTTTTATATGGCATACTTAACTTATTTCTTTTTAAAGTAATCAAATTTAAAGAATTTAAGTTTTTAAATTAATAAATTAAATAAGTTTACAAAATTTTAGAAATATTAATTAATTAATTAATAATAATGGGAAATAATTAATTATTTAAGATTGAAGATATATATATACATATATATATATATATTAAAATATTAATAATAAAAAATCAAATATATATATATATATACATATATTTATATTTATATATTAAAATATTAATTAATAAAAAATCAAATATATATATATATATATATATATTGTAAAGAATCATAAGTGCTAAATAAAATATAGCCATTTAGAAGGCTTAAAGAAGTAAGAAACATAATATATATATATATTAAAATATTAATAATAAAAAATCATATATATATATATATATATATATATATATATAATAATCCATCCCATTTAATAAAATCAACTCACCTTATTGTCACCATCATTAAAAATAAAATGAATCAACTCCATAAACTAGCAATACAATCATGGCTCTCATCTCCACCTCCCTTATTCCTAGCTTCAACTCCCTTCATTCTCAGCCTTCTTCATTCTAATCCCCATGTTCCTCTCTCTCTCCATTCTTAGCTTTTATCTTAATCCTTCTTGTTTCCTCTTGTTTTCCACAATAAGGTAGATAAATTTAATAAATAGATAGATTATTTTAATATTTATTTATATATATATATATATATATATATATAATAAAACATTTAAACTTCTTTAAAAAAAAAGGTAAATTTATATTAAAAATATAAACTATATATACTTATAATTTTTATCACAAGTCTTATCAAACTAAAGATGTTAATTGCTTTTAGATATTTTTAAAAAATTTGCAAGCTCTTAGTGGTAAGGTATGCCTTATGTTTTGTATGTCTTCTGATTGCTTTTTATTTCACCTCTTTTTAGCTGAATAACTCTTGTTTCCTATTTTTCCTTCTTACTTCTAAGATTGTAGCTTACTAGATTTATTTGTTCTTATTTTCATCTATTTTTAACTTACATGTAATTATTTTTTGCTCTAATTTTTAAATCCATTTTTTAAGCACTACCATGCTAATGTCAAATTTATTTCGTATATCTCTTCTATGTACTATTTAATTTCTATTACTATTTTAATTTTAATTATTAATATTTTTTAAATAAATTTTATTGATATAAAATTATACTTTAAATACAATAAAACTCTTAAGATATATAAATATATATATATATATATATATATATATATATATATATAATGATATAATGTTATTTATCAAAAAGATAATATTCAAAATTTAATAATTTATATTTAAATTATTATTAGTGACGGTATTTTTTAATATTTTATGTAGTCAAATTTTAAGATATTTAACCATATTTTTAAGATTTAATTTTATATTCATAAAATTTTAATTTTTTTTAATATAATTAAATTATTTTTTTAGATATTTAAATATATCTCTAAAATCCTAAATAGTATACAATGTATTAAGTATTAACAATGAATTCTAGTTATTTGTAAGAGATCAATTTTTTAATAGTAGTTTATTTTAGTAACTAACTATATGTCTTTAATTTTATAATATATACTTGTGTAATATTTTTTAATATCTTTTTTCTTAATATAATAGTTATATTTTATAGATAGTTTATCATATAGGAATAATTATTAATATTGCAACTTTTTTTGAATGAACTATTAAAACCTAAGGTTGTTGTTAAGTACACAAATGTCTTACGATTTAATTTTCAATTTTAAACATATATATCATAAGATGTAAATAAAATAAAAAATAAAAATAAAGAATCTAAAAAGAACCCTTGTTTTGTAAATTTGTAACTTTATATAAATTATGTTAAAAAAAATGAAAATAATCTTTAGTATTTTGATAAAATAAAAATTTTAGAACATCATTTTTTTAACTCTTAAATAATATAAATAGTTATTCAATGTCTAACTTGATCTAATTCAAGTCAAACGTTTTCAAAATATTTTTTTAAAATCTGTAGATTAATCTAAATAATTTAAATTTCTGAATTAAAATTTAAAAATTAAATAATCAATAATTCAAAAAGTTAATATTTATAAAATTAAAGTTAACATTTATAAAATATTTGTAGAATATTGTTTCATAAATTGTGTGATGAAATAAATTTTTAGATAATTTTAAAATTTTAATTATCCTGATTAAAATTAAAATTAAATTTTTACAAACTTATTTAGAATAATATTGCATTTTTCTTTTTAATAATATTCTTAAGTTTTATTTTCCAATATTAAATAAATTCTAAATTTTTCTGAAGTAATATTTTATAAATCATAAACAGATGATAAATAATATCAATGATTAGTATGAGATAAATATCTTTTTTTTTCTTTAATTCTACTAAGTTTTAAAATTTGAAATTAATGTTCATTGAAATGACGTAAAATTTAATTAGTATTTTTTATTATTATTTTACAAGTAACACGAATTGTTTGTTTCTTTAAATGCCAAATATTGAATTGTATATAATATTTATAATTCAAGTTATTATATTTGATAATTAATTATGTGAAAGGTAATTAAAGAAGTGAATTGAATAAAATAATATATCTTAAATTATTTTCATTAAAAAAATTAATAAAAATAATTTCATATAAGGGAAAAATAATTTTATTTTAAATTTATAACATAAAAATATTATATGCACTTATTGAATAAATAATTTATATATGGTTGAAAACCAAAATGCACATGAAGAAATTGCTTCAAAAAAAAAAGTCAGATCTTAATACACATATTATATATATATATATATATATATATATATATATATATATATATATATTATCAAAATAAACTATACTTATTTATTTTAAGAACCATAGAATTAGATACTACCAATTTTGTTATATATATATATATATATATATTATTGAAATTTTTATTAGATATTTATTATAAACTATTCTAAGATTTCAACTTCATTAATAAGGTG